AGCAATTAAGCAGCGCAACTGGGAACAGGAGAAAAGTCCTTTCCTGCCACCAAGGGTACAGTATGTAGTCCAGTTCCCCATATCCACGTTGGGCCTTTCGCAGCCATCTGTAACTCCAGCTAACGGGGTGTCTTATGCCTTTGGCCTCTGTTATATCTTCAACCATGTGTGTGTGGCACTCTCTCTCTCTCTCTCTCTCTCTCTCTCTCTCTCTCTCTCTCTCTCTCTCTCTGTGTGTGTGTGTGTGTGTGTGTTTAAAATAATGAGTAGTCATAGCTTTTAAAAAGTAACATTTCATATTTACTTATTTTAGCTGCACAAATGTGCTTCACGGCACAATTATAATATGTCATGACTGACTTTCCCCTTTTAAATAGCATTTAGGAATTGCTGTAACTCAGTAGTTGCAACTATAGCATGTTTATAGCCTTGGGTTTGGCCCCTCTGTTGTCTATTTTTATGTCAACTTGACACAAGTGGGTCTTATCAGAGAGGAGAGAAGCACATGGACATCATTTGAGAAAGATCCTTCAGGTTCCTCTTGAAGTTCACCTATCACTGCAATACCTCTGCAGAAAACAGCTTGTCTTTTCTTTTCTCTCTCTCATTCAAACAGCTATTCTTTTTCCCTTCCTTGTCCCTTTGTTCCTTTCTTTTTTAAAACTTACTTAGTTTTGTATTTTGAGACAAGGTCTCACTATGAAACCCGGGCCACCCTAGAACTCACTATTGTAGATCACACTGGCCCCAAACTCAGAGATCCACCTACCCTCTGCTTTTGGGGTTAGAGAAAGGCACTGTCAGGCCTGCTTTACCTTCTTGTCTTTCTTTTTAAAATGAAACCCATAAGTCAGTTTCTCCCTTTTTAGAATGCGGAATAAACATGAACTGACTCTTCTCTTTTGCCATCCAGGTGGATCTGAGGATCCTTAGGCCTGAGTGTAAACTAAAAACTATACCAATCTTAATGAAGAATAAAGTCAATGAAGTTGGTGAAAGTATACCAATACACTAGGTTATGTTTGTTACAAACAAAATGTAAGCATGTGAGGGCTGTGACCGAAACAGCTCTTCCTTAGTTCTGTAGTTAGTAGTCAACTATTAACTCTACTTCTCTTGGTTTAAAATAATTGAGCTGTATTTAGTGAGGAAGGAGGAAGCAAAGCTGCTTTAGAATCATTCACATGCCTTTAACGGAGATGATTTGTTTTAGTCATGGCTCTTTCCCTCCCCATGTTCTACCAGACAGCACAAAAGGTCTGCCACAGTACAGACTTCGGCCTGAAAAATTTCACTGTCGGGATGACCTGTACCAGAGACAGGGTTGGTTTTTTTTTTTTCTTATTTTTCACAATGAATAGTCTCCCCTTGCACTAAATTTTGAAGTAATGTTATGCATCCCATGTAATTATTTGAACTGTTTATGATTAGTCTCCATTTTTATGAGGAATATCTAGTCTAAGATCCTCATTGGATGCTGAAAGAGGAAGCCAGGGAAACACTAGGGACCAAATCCTCTATATACTGCTAGTTTATGTAAGCTAGTTTACAGATTCATTGTTCTCTTCCTCTTCACTGTTTGCTTTGTGGCCCTAACTCCCACAGTGTGAATTAGAGCAATGAATTTCACCTTCCTTTCTGTAGTGTCGTGCATAGATTTGAAACAAATTGCTGATCTCTGCAGATGGACATGTGAATACGTTTATTCCCGTATTAAATCATTACTTTCACCTTTTAAGTTAAAGGACTATGTAGCATCATTAATTAGCATGACTGCATTGACAGCTTTACTACTCTCCTTAGGGGCCATTTTTCCATTAGGAGAGGGTGACTTGAACAGAGGTGGCTCACTACCTCGGGTTGATCTGATAGCCGTGATACCGAGTCACTAATGATCAGATTGAGAGTAGATACACAGGATGCTGAAGGGTGGTTCATCCTCCTGGGGATCAGGTGGTACCTCCTGGGGATGGGGGGGGGATGCCAGAAATTTTATCATGCTAACTCAAATTGATTTACATCTTAAGCTTATTGATTACTTCTGAATGCTTTCATTTAATATTTTCTAATTACTGTTACCTCACGTAATGGAAACTGGGAAGCAAACTGGGGTAAAGGGGACCACTGCTATATCTAGCAGTTTACTGTTACTGTAATGAAGACAAGTTTTACACATAAGAGAGGCTTATGTGTATGGAAAAGGTCCAGTGGGTAGATAGCATCAGGTTGGAGATGCACAGCAGGACAAGAGATTGCATTAAAAAACAGGAAGTCAGAGAGACTGCAGTCCACAGTCTCCTTAGAAAACACGAGTCCAGTTGACCTTTGGGCCTCCTAGTAGGCCCAGCCTCTGGAAAACTGCACACTATATTTCCCAACTTGGGAGCTGTGAACTTTTGGGGTGGGTGCAAAACATGTCTAAACCCTGGTAGGTGGTTTTAGGGTTGTGGTCTTTAAGTAATGAATTTCTGGCCTCTGACCAACTAAGTCAGGACTTTGCTGGATTGAGCAGCATTAAGCTTTTATCCTGGAGACAGTTGGGAAGAGGAGGACAATTCTGATACTAATATGATAAAGTGGCTGTTCCCAAAGAGAAACATTTTTCACAGCCACTGGAACCCAAACCCTATCTTCTCAGTCTCTTTTTCAGGTCTGTAGTTACTCAGAACAAAGTGCCCGAGTTATATGCATCAGCAGAAGAGACAGTAACTGCTTCTTTCCTTTGCCAGACAAATTCAGGAAAGTCCTTACAGACTGTGAGGTCCTCACATTAGATCAGGAAAGTCCTTACAGACTGTGAGGTCCTCACATTAGATCAGGAAAGTCCTTACAGACCGTGAGGTCCTCACATTAGATCAGGAAAGTCCTTACAGACTGTGAGGTCCTCACATTAGATCAGGAAAGTCCTTACAGACCGTGAGGTCCTCACATTAGATCAGGAAAGTCCTTACAGACCGTGAGGTCCTCACATTAGATCAGGAAAAGTCCTTACAGACCGGAGGTCCTTACAGACTGTGAGGTCCTCACATTAGATCAGGAAAGTCCTTACAGACTGTGAGGTCCTCACATTAGATCAGGAAAGTCCTTACAGACTGTGAGGTCCTCACATTAGATCAGGAAAGACCTTACAGACCGTGAGGTCCTCACATTAGATCAGGAAAGTCCTTACAGACCGTGAGGTCCTCACATTAGATCAGGAAAGTCCTTCGCCGTGAGGTCCTCACATTAGATCAGGAAAGTCCTTACAGACTGTGAGGTCCTCACATTAGATCAGGAAAGTCCTTACAGACCGTGAGGTCCTCACATTAGATCAGGAAAGTCCTTACAGACTGTGAGGTCCTCACATTAGATCAGGAAAGTCCTTACAGACCGTGAGGTCCTCACATTAGATCAGGAAAGTCCTTACAGACCGTGAGATCCTCACATTAGATCAGGAAAGTCCTTACAGACCGTGAGGTCCTCACATTAGATCAGGAAAGTCCTTACAGACTGTGAGGTCCTCACATTAGATCAGGAAAGTCCTTACAGACTGTGAGGTCCTCACATTAGATCAGGAAAGTCCTTACAGACTGTGAGGTTTTCACATTAGATCAGGAAAGTCCTTACAGACTGTGAGGTCTTCTGAGTTGGATTTGCGAAATACACAAAAAGGCATCCAGACAGGTAAATAGAAAAACAAATGATTGATTATCTTAGTAGACTTTGAATCAGCATATTCATCTTGACAGAAAAAGTAATATGAAAAGAGTGAAGGAATATTTAAAACCTAGATTATGATTTTGTAATTGAGAAAACATTTTTAAATAAGTTATATAAGTCAGTTCTAGTATAAAATGCTCCCAAAACACAATCAAGTGTCTGATTTAATGTCTTGCTTTTATACTCCAAATCTACAAAAATAGTCTTTGAAAATTTTATTTCTGACCCCATATCAAATGGTTATCCTTAAAAACATGCATATGATCAACATTATACAGACTGGGCAGGTTATATTTAGTGATATACCACTAAATAGTATACCGATATTATTTATATATAAATATGTACAAATCCATCTATACATACATATGTACGTACATGAATTTAATAGCAGTGAATGAGAAAGAGGCCATGAATTTGAAAGATTGATGTCAGAGGGCTTGGAGGGAGGAAGAACAGGGATAGGATGTAAATTTAGAATGAACTCAAAAACACGAGGAAAAAAATGTGTTGATTGCATCATGGCAGGCACGTGTTCTTTTTTTTTAAGGCACAGTATCGCATGTTTGTCTTCATACCTCAATACATGTAACACTAAATATCTTTATCTTTTTAAAGGAAAAAAGACATTGTTTACACACTACAAAGAGCAGAGGGTAAGGCAGTAACAGAAAACCGCCTGTCTAGAGCTAAGTAAGAATCTTAGTAATGGCAATCTTGATAATATTTTACCATATAGCTCTACAATTCATTACATCCATGGCATTACAATGTTGTTAAGGCTGATGTATTTTTTTTTTTTTTTACCAGACAGTGCTGTAGTTGCTTTAAAAAATGAATCTCTATGTGAGTTTGTATATGGTTGTTTTTTTTTTTTTAAAGTTATTACATTTATTGTGTGTGCTCGAGTGCATGCACACGCTTGTGTATGGATGTGGCCTACATGTGGAGGTCAGAGGTCAGCTTGGAGTCAGTTCTTTCCTTTCCCATGTGACGCTGGGGACTGAGCTCAGGTCTGGATGGCGGCATCACTTTAGTTTCATACTAGAACCTTTGTGGTAGAATGGATGGGACAAGAATGTGTACATTTATGTTTCTGTATCACCAAATTGTTTTGTACACAGTGGAATAGGCTTTCAATTGCTAGCATTGTAATGTTTATCAAACTTCAGTAAAACATAACAAAACCTATACTTTTGTAATGGATAATTGAATTCCTTGATAATCTTAAAATTATACAGCTACTTTATAAAGCAGTGACAACCATGATTTGCTGTCTCTCTTTGCCTCTCTCTTTACAGAGCAAACTATTCATGGAAGGATTTAGAAGCTTGAAAGAAGGCGAGCCAGTGGAATTTACATTTAAAAAGTCCCCCAAAGGCCTTGAATCAATCCGGGTAACAGGCCCAGGTGGGAGCCCCTGCTTAGGAGGCGAAAGACGACCTAAAGGGAAGACACAGCAGAAGAGAAAACCAAAAGGAGATAGGTAAGTCGCTTGGCCAACTTACGAGTGTATTTGGAAAATATCTGTAAAATGTTCTCATCATTTTGCCTATGGGTTCCATGGAGCCTAGCCAAAAGAAAATGCGTTCAGTGTGCAGCCGAATAGACTTGTCAAGAAGTCAGTCTTCTCGCTGTCTGCAGAGCACTGAGCCACTCGTAGCATGGAGCGTGGAAGTGCTCTGACTACCATTCCTAGACTATTGGAAGGAAGAGCAGAGGAGGAGCTCAGATGCTTACAGAAGAAGTGCCTCTCTCTGTACAGCTTTCTGATTCTCCACTTGCTATTTCCAACGACAGTATACTTCCCGCTTTGTTTTTAAAACGACACTTTCAACTTAGTGGGAAAACTCACTTGAAATCCCAAATGCAGGCAGAAGCCATAAACTCTATGCTGTCTTCTATTTTCCAAACCGACTCTTGGATGTCATTAATTAACACCTGCATACATTCTCACTTTATGAATCAGCCAAACTTTACAAGCAGTGCTGTCAGGCTACTGAGCCTCTTTTCTGTGCTTTGAAATAACCATCACTGTATCAATTCTTATGCACACATTTTAAAAATATTGTCTGATTATATTCTTAGGATAAATATTTACTACCGAAAATCTAGACCAAAAATTAAGTACTGAAAGGTTTTGGTACCTGGTTCTAAACTGCTGCCAAAATAATTAAGAGCAAAAAAAATACAACAAAGGTAAGGTAGTGCTCTGCATTTTATTTAGGGTTGTCTAATTACATAGCTGTGGCCCTCAGTGGTTTTTCATATATGAACTTTGATTATAGCAATAAATAAATAAAATAAAGCATCATTAGAATTAGTTTAAAAAGCAACACGATCTCATAATGTAATTTACCTCTTTATACAATTTGTTTTTTTTTTTCCTTGCCATCACAAAACATTTGAGAAAATGAACTCAACATTAAGAGGAAAAATTAATTTTGCTCACTTCATGACTGTTGGAAAAAAGAGAGGGTTGGCAGAGGCCCCAAAGGTACATCCTTAGTAATCTGTTTTTGCCAACTAGGTCCCACCTTCTTAAATCCAATTTCCTGTTAAGCTATGAACCCATTGATGTTATTAAAATGAACCACTTCCCAATGTCCCTGCTTCTGAACACTCCTGCCTGGAGGCCAAGCCTTTAACCTGAGCTCTTCAGAAGCACTTAGATCTAAATCCTGGCGTTCCTTAAGTCTCCTTAAGTGACCAATGTCACTCTCGTTAATTTGGAGAAGCAAGGATGGAAGCTGAGAAATGAATAAGGGATGCTTTTCCAGTATCCCAGAAAGAGATGGTAGTGGTTTGGGTCGGGGCGGTAGACAAAGAAATGGTGAGCGAAATTCCTATGTGTTTTGAAGGTGGAGACGGCAGGATTTACTGATGGATCAGATGTGGACTGTGAGAGAAGAAGAGTCCAGGATGATTCCAAGGTTTGTTTGGCTTGGGCATCAAGAAGGATGGAGGGACCAGTTGCCAAGATGGGGAAAAACTGCAGAAGGAGCAATACATTCACAGTTTGGCTTGGGGCGTGATGAATATGCAAGAGGGTTAGGACGGACAATTAAAGTTCAGCAGTAGTCAGTGAAATGATACTCAGACCCATAATGAGAAGAGGAGTCTGCCCTGGGTCATTCTAGCATTGAGAAGTAGCAGTGAAAGAGAGTGCGGAAGCAGCAGGAACAGGAAGGTCATCTAGCAGGCCTTTGTTTTGGAAGACTGGGAGAGAGAAATCAAGGAGGTATGTACCAGGACTGTTCAGAGATTCCGATGATTACATGATACATTGATGATGATGACCACTTAGAGTCTCACCACTTAGCAACACAGAAGTGACTAATGGACATGACAGGAATAGCTCTGCAGTCTGGTGGGTGTGAAAGCTTGTGCATCTTGTTCAGCAGAGAGTGACAGGAGAGGAAGCAGATGCAGCAAATACAATATGGGGCATTTCCTAAAGGCTAAGACGCTACAGAATGTGTATGTGTTGACGGGAATGGTTTAATAAAAAAAGGAAGAGTCAACAATGCGGGAGGAGAGGAGATGGTGTCTGCAGTGATTCTTTGGGTGCAAGATGAAACTAAAGGCCCAGTTCTGAGGTCTGACTATGATGGTGAGTGGTTTACTCTTAGCCTACGTGAAGATGCAGTTAGATGATGAGCAGTATCTAAAAAAAACGATAGGGACCTGTCAGACGGGTGTGGAAGCTGTCTAGGAGATGTTGCCAGGAGTGGAAATTTGAGAACTGAAGTCAGTAACAATTCTATAGATTATAAATCATGGGGAAGAAATCAGTGGCTCTGACTAAGAAATAAAGGAAAAATTTTCAGTGCGATAAGGAATGAATTATTTACAGTCTTAAGGCATCTCCTCCAACAAAATGCTTACTAATTGCCAAAGTAAATTAATAGGAGAGTTTGACCCATAGTATCTTGGTCATGTGATCAAAGATAAAAATGACCAGTAATGGGAAGATTGAAAGTGAATGGCCTCTGATGACAGAATACTGATTCCCACGACAGCCTTGCTAAAGATGAATAACCTCAATCTAATTTAAGGGACTAGCACGCAAATACAAACAGCAAGCTAGATTTATCCCAGTGTTTCAAAACTCACACCTCTTATTCTTCTGTGCCTTTAAGTTAAAGGTACACAGAAAGGGTGTGGTTAGACTCAAATTTCAAAATCCTTAGCACAATAACCCTAATGTATAAGCAATTCAAGAGAAAGAGAAGCACTTTCAGAGACTTGGATACTGCCATAAGCCACTTTCGAACTTGAAAGCTTACGGAATTTTGAAAATAATGGTGTTAAGGCTGGAAATATGGATTCATGGGGAAGCTCTTGCCGTGTTATGTGCAAGGCCCTGGTCTTAATGCTGGATTGGTTCACTGAAGCATGAAAAAGGCAGACTTCCAGTTAATTCTTCTTTAAGAGAAAAATTAACATTGGCACATTGTTGTGTGTTTTGCTTGTTGGGAATGTTGATTTTATTTTATTTACCAAATTGTCATAACAATTAAATTTTTATTCACAGTTCTGTGAATTCTCACATGCTCAGAACAGTCCATTAACCCCCCCTCCCCCAACCCCGCAAACAACCTCTCGTGGCCTTTTATACTGCCCATGCCTAATCTATCACTTTGGCAGCCAATAACATGTTTCTTCATGTTATGATTGGCCTTGTTTTTGTGGGTGGCATATGAATACATTTATGAATATATTTATTTGTTTCACAACCTTTTGAAATGGTCCATTTTCCTTTCATCATTGTGCTTTTGAAAGTTATCTGCAATGTTGAATGTGTTGGTCGTTCATTCTCTTATATTGTTGGGTAATGTTCCTTTATTAGACTATAACAGTCTATCTAATTTATCTGTTGAGGATTTGGGTCTTTTCCAGGTATGGCAGTTATGAACAGCATCTGCAAAGACTCAGGTGTGAGTTTGTGCACATAGGTCTTTGTTTTTGGAGTGGGACCGCTATGAACGGTGGTCATGGGTATGTGTTTACCTTGGTTTTGTAGAGGAGTCACATTCTCCTTCATTTCATATGCTATGCATATTTGTTTCAACTGGACATAAGCCTAGCTACTCATATATGTAATGGTCACGGTAATTACTGTATGTTGTCGTGGCAATGGATGCTGATGCTAAACATTGTTTAAGGCATTTTGGTATTGCTATCTTTCTCCTCTGGTGAACTGTACCTTTGCCCATTTTGTTTGTTTGTTTGTTTTTACTGAGGTCTTTATTTTCTTATTACCCTGAGAGCTTTTAATATGCATTGTGATACAGAACATTTGCTAGATAAACTTTTCCAAATATTTTCTTCTATTCGGTATCTTGTTTTCTTCTCTTATAAATAATCTTGTAGTGTAAAAGATTTTATTTTGATGAGGACAGTTTAATTAACTTTTGCTTGATGTCATGTTTAAGAATCATTTGCTTAAAGGGTGGGCATGGTGGCTGCCTTCTTTAACCCTAGCACATAGGAGGCTGGAACAGGCAATGTCAGAATTTGGGGCTAGTGTGGTCTACAGAGAGAGTTCTAGGACAGCCAGGGCTATAGGAAAACCCTGCCTCAAAGTAAATAAATAAATAAATAAACAAATAAACAAAGAAAATAACCCCAAAAAGCAAAATAAAAGAATTGTTTACTTACCACAGTATTTCCTTCCAAGTGTCTGGTAGGATGCTTTTTGTTTTATTCCTATTATAGTTATATGTTTTGCATTTGCTCAGTTATCCAATTAGAATTAGCTTTGTACCTGGTGTAACATTTATATTGACTCATTTTCTTTATCAATCAAATGAATTGTTTAGATACTGTCTATTAAAATGAAGAGTGTTCATTCTGTACAGTCGAGTCTTCCATGTTAGTAAAGATGTTTTTACAATTTCAGATGAAGTAATTTTATATTTACTGTGTAGTTTGTTTTATGTTCATCTTCAGAAGAGTAAGGAGACACAAATTCCTTGTAGCTTTCCTCATTATAAAATGAAGGTAGCTGATGAAAAATCAGAGACCTTATGCTTTTTTCTTAAGAGCTAGACTCGTCTTGGTACCTTTCTGTAAAGAACAGAGTTTACTATGAAGAAGTAAATGTTAATGCTTAAGTTTGAGGTAGACTAATAAAAATGATGATTTTTGTCTGTCATTGTATTTACATGAATTAATAATGTCAGATTACATTACGGAATTAACTTTCATTATGGAATTTTAGTTTATACTTTCAGATATTTGGAATGATTAAATAGATTTACAGTGAGACTAATGGCCTAGAAGTCTTTGTACAGATGGAGAGTCGATGCTAAATACTTAGTAACTGAAATACACGTAACTTTTAAGAACATCTGTAGTGAATTCACATATGGAAGATTCTGGGACTTGTCTATTTACAGTTTTTCCTTCTTTTCTCTTAAAATTCTGCCCCCCCCCCAGTGTAATGATTGTTCTCTTTGTTCTTCTAACCTTCCACATCTT